ACCACGAAAATCCAAATAGGTGGATGTGATCTACTATACATGAAAAATTCTCGAAGGATTTTTTACCCATGCGTAATATCTCTGTTGAAATCATGAGAAATCCTCGTAATTAGTGGGAGAGATTTAGGTGATTAATTGTAGGGATTGATAAGGAAGATTGTTTACAGCCTGTGATTTATTAGCAGAATAATATTTCTTAATTTAGGGGATTTTTTCTTTTTTAGGAGATTCTTTTCTTTTTTTTTTGTTTTCCCTATTGTATTATAAATAGAGGATTAGAGATGTACAAAAGGATATGAATTTTTAGTGAAAATATAAAAACACATTCTCGTTTGGACAAATTTTTAAAAGAACCCTTTTTTCAATTTTATATAGCAAAACCGACCACTTTTCAAAATAATAGGTAAAAACGATCCTTTTCTTCGGAGAAGGGTCGGTTTTGCAGCAAATCAAATGCACGGGACTACCAGTCCCGTGCATTTGATGATTTTACACGACCCCACCCCCCTCACTGCACTCTGATCTCACCTAATTCCCCACCCTCCCTCTTCCCTCGTGGACCCCACACCCACTACCTCTCCCTCTCCCTCTCCCTCATTTCACTCCTGACCTCACCTCATTCCACTCGTGACCTCCCCCTCCTCTCCCTCCTCCCCTTCCTCCGCCTCAAAGACCTCCACCTCTCCCTCTCCCTCCTCTCCGACCTCATCCCCATCTCCCTCGCCCTCCCAAATTAGGGCTCTACCCAAAACTAGGCTAACAGTGTCTCGTGCACCGTCACCTTGCATCGCGCCGCAGCGCCCATCGGAGAAAGTGGTGGCGTGGTACTGTGCTATTACTTCCTGAAGAGTCGTAATTTGGGAGAGTAGAGCCCTAATTTGGGAGGGCGAGGGAGATGGGGATGAGGTCGGAGAGGAGGAGGGAGAGGGAGAGGTGGAGGTCTTTGAGGCGGAGGAAGGGGAGGAGGGAGAGGAGGGGGAGGTCACGAGTGGAATGAGGTGAGGTCAGGAGTGAAATGAGGGAGAGGGAGAGGTAGTGGGTGTGGGGTCCATGAGGGAAGAGGGAGGGTGGGGAATTAAGTGAGATCAGAGTGCAGTGAGGGGGGTGGGGTCGTGTAAAATCATTAAATGCACGGGACTGGTAGTCCCGTGCATTTGATTTGCTGCAAAAACGATCCTTCTCCGAAGAAAAGGGTCGTTTTTACCTATTATTTTGAAAAGTGGTCGGTTTTGCTATATAAAATTAAAAAAAGGGTTCTTTTAAAAATTTGTCCTTCTCGTTTCTGTCAACATGGTATCAGAGCTGAGATTTTTCCAATCCTAGCCATCAATGGAGACCACCACCATCAATAGAAGATGATCAATGTCCTCTGAAAGTCCAGATGGTGAAACAAAAGAAGTCTCCACCGTGAGGTTAGGTGGACAGGAAACTTCGTCCTTTCAACTCACGGTGGAAAAATTAAATGGAATAAATTTTCGGGAATGGGCTCAGTCCATCAAACTCGTGATCGACGGCAAGGGAAGACTTGGTTACCTTACCGGCGAAACGAAGAAGCCAGCCTCAATCGACACTGCCATTTTGCAAAAGTGGAAGTCAGAAAACTCGTTAGCGCGGCTTGGCTAGTCAACTCCATGAAGCTTTCCATCAGAAAAACCTATCTATTCCTGCCGACGGCGAAGGATGTCTGAGATACAGTGAGGAAAACGTATTCTGATGCTGGAAATTTTTCCCAGATCTTTAAAATCAAGACCCGATTATGACAGATGAAACAAGGAGAAAGGGAGGTCACGAATTACTATATGGAAATGACCTCCCTCTAGCAGGAGCTTGACCTGAGTGTTGAAGAAGAATGGGAATGTTCTGAAGATAGTGTCAAATACAAAAGAAGACTCAAAAATGAACGGGTCTATGAATTCCTTGCTGGGCTCAACCGCGAATTGGACGACGTTAGAAGCAGGATTCTCGGTCGACATCCTCTGCCAAAAACTTGTGAAGTCTTTGCAGAAGTGAGGCGAGAAGATAACAGGAGGAAGGTGATGATGCAAGAGAAATGGCCTATTGGGCCTGAAAGATCCGCATTAACAACCCATGGAATACACAGTGGTTCAGTTTTCTATCAGCCTGTTGGGCTGGAAAAACTGCCCTAAACACCCGTGGAGGACAAGCTGGGTCAGGCCCAAACCAGCCCAGAAGATATCCATGGTGTGATCACTGTCGGAAGCCCGGACATACCAAGAAAACCTATTAGGAGATACATGGTAAGCTGGCTGATTGGAGGCTAAAATTTAACACCAGAAACCGAGGTGGCTACCAGGTTATTGCTGATAATCAGGCAGAGAGAAAGCGGGAGGGACATGGCAACAATTCCATCTCAAGTGGAGCATTTAATTCTAAACAATTGGGACAACTCTACAAAATTTTCTCTAGTCTTCAACCTGCCGGTCAGTCTTCTTCAAATGTTTCTTCTGTTTCATTAGCACACAGAGGTAATTTTTTGAGAGCTCTAATTTTTTGAGAGCTCGAATTTTCGAGTCTATAGACAGGGGAATCTGTCCTTCATGTCCCAAATTTGTCATGCAATCTATTGTCCATTAGTCAGTTGACAAGAAATTCTAATTGCTCTGCTAAATTTTTCACATCACATTGTGTATTTCAGGACCTATCATCGGGGAAGACGATTGGCAGTGCTAAGGAATGTGAGAGACTCTACTATTTTGAGGAGGCCAATATGAGTAAGCAGTGTCAAATTGCAACTTGTGATTCTGCATCTAGTTCAAAAAATAATCAAAAAATAATGAAATAATGTTATGGCATTTTAGAATGGGTCATCCTAATTTTTAATATTTGAGACAATTGTTTCCTTCCATGTTTTCTAATAAAAGTAATTTAAATTTCCAATGTGAAATTTGTGAACTCGCAAAACATCAACGTACTTCATTCCAAAAATCCGGATACAAGCCATCTAAACCATTCGGTATGATTCATAGCGATTTGTGGGGTCTATATCGAACTTTTAATCGTACTCACACGAGATGGTTTGCCACCTTTATTGATGACCATACCCGAGTCAGCTGGGTTTACTTGCTAAAAGAAAATTCCGATGGTCGTTCTGTTTTTATCAATTTTCACTCAATGATAAAAACACAATTCCAAACACAAATTCAAATTTTTCATACCGACAATGGCAAATAATTTTT